TACCACACACTCAAAATGTATGAGGGAGCTATGTAATTCTTTTATAGTAGTATATCGGGGAGTCAGAGGAGGTTCATTTCCCAGCAAGGCTATCACAGTCCCAGAGCAAATAGCAGGTGGCCTTGCCAACATGCTAAGTGACCCAAGCTTGTTCCAAGGTCAGGGGGGCGTACAGTCACGGCCTTGCCAACTCACTGAACCGACCAGAAGCAATGCTCAAAGGTCAAGGGCCTCAGACGGGTCCTGGATCCCCACTGGGTTGGACTCCTCCAGCATTGGCCATAGGCATTTCTGCCTCTGATACATATCACTTTACTACACCACAGTGTGGGCCCTGGCTTGGACTACTTCTACCTTCTTTCTTTCTCCTTATTACCCATCATCTATCATCTATCCTCTTATACTATAAGCAAGAAAGTTATAGATGCCAGGAAATATTGATAGCTCATGGTTTTGCCTTGTTTCTCATCTTCATAGGCTTGATGATTCTTGTAGCCCAAACTAGATCAACTAATTTCCCATGAAATGTAGAGGTAGCTGTGAGATGCATTTAGTTAACAATTTATTTTTTTAACATGTTATCCAGTATTTCTATTGAAATGTTCATGTATGTTTTGTTCATACATATATTGTAAAAGAAGACACTTGCACAGAAATTGAAAGTTATTTCATAATTTCCTCAGGATTTTCATGATTTCTATTGTACAACTCAGTTTTGTTAACAATCTCTGCTGAATGTCATACAAGCTTTTAAAATGTATTCATGTAGAGACTGTGCACAGGATAGACAGTGAGAGAAAGACAGAGAAAGAGTAAGGAGCATCTTTCACAGTGCCTGGTGATGTTGTAATCACCTTCTTCCATTACTTCACACTATCAGGTTTTGGGCATTTGTGAGAGTGTCTGATATGTTTCAGGCAGAGCAGGTCAGAGAATTGAGTGTGGTCACTGTGTGGGATGCATTTTTCTCTTGAGCAGTGAATTCTGCTGCATCTCAGAGGTGGCACATACACTCTTACATGTAATTTATTGAAGTACATAAAAGACACTGGTGCCAGGAACCAGCAGTTAGCGTAATGGCTGTGTCGCTGGATTCCCACGTAGTCGACCGCGGTTCGCGTCCTGGACCTGGTGGCTTAAAACTCATGCCGGGCACGTGTGCGTGCGTGCCCAAGATCCCGAGAGGAGAATGGAGGAGAAGGGATTGCAGCGTGAC